CTGGGCTCGTACCCAAAATGCATCGTGCGTTTGCGTCTTCGGTTGGAGACGGTTTTCTTCTGTGAAAACACTGTGCATGGCCGATTTTGGATATGCGTCGCCCTTTGCATGAGCTGTTGAAGACAGTCTTACGACTGAAAAAAATAAGTCAAACAAATCGGACATAAGTAAGCCGAACTGGACCTGCATCCCAAAATCATTTGTTTAGTAGCGACTGCTCCGCCGCGCCGCGCAGCCTGCCGTGGCTAGCCTGCCACTGTGGCCGGTCAGTCGCCCGCTGACCCGCTTACTTGGCAGTACTCTGTGACGCCATCAACACGGGAGCGGACCTGCCGCACAATCTATCTCGGCAAGTGGTTAAGAGAAGGTTAAAAAAAGAATCTACACTGGGAGGTGCAAGTGGTGCGATCACGCCCGGGCCCCAAAAAGTAGGCCCCGTGTAATCAGTAATTAGTCACAGAAGCCCAATTAGTTTAAGTCCATATAGCCTGAGTTTATGTTGTTGTTTTTTAGTTTTATGTCGCAGTCCATATAACCCCGAATTAGATTATTTTTTTTAGAGAAAACAACTGTTGCATTATTACATTATATGGTGAGTGTTACATGCAAATCCACAAGACTGAAAGAACACACACAAACAAAATACTCCATTTGATTCGGCGCTGTGTGGAACAGTACAGATTCCGTAGGATTTGGAAGAAAAATCCTGATTTCCGCACAGGTTTTACAACTTTTTTAACATATAATAAACAAATGTAAATCAAGGTGCAACCAATTGCAAATGGCACAGAGGAACATCGTAACACCTCTGGTGTTATGAGCTCGCTTAGCACTAAGATTATAGTGCAAATGCGGCACCAAAGGGCACATGCCGTTGGAGTTCGTGCTAGAGCTAGATTAACGAAACTTGAAAATTAGCATTGGGCCTGCTCGACTCCTCGAGAAAGTCCTCAACTCAAAAGCAAAGCCCAACAATACCACCAGGCCCATACAGGCCTAACGATCTGCTTTCCAGCACTCATTTCAGTCGGCCCACGATTCCAGATCCCCTTCTCTACCCGCGGCGCCGCCGACCATGACCATCACCGTTCCACCCGCCCCACGGCCTCGGCCGCCGGCTGCCATGAGGTCCGTCAAATTCGGCGTCGAAGATGACCTCGCCGTGTCCGCCACGGTACACGGACAACTCCATGGATCACGTGCCCGCCGTCCAGGTCAGGCGCGTCGCCCTCGGGCCCGATGACCGTGAGTTGCCTGTTCCCCTCACGATTCCCCTCGATTCCGCGTGAATGTTTGAAAGGGTTTTCATTGGAGACTCTGTTCGTGAATGTAGAGGCGGAGGAGTCGGCGCTCGTGATCAGGGGCATCAATGGAAACAGACCAGAGCATCGTCCCCGTCTGCAACGACGCCAGGGTTGTCTGGGACTCGGAGGTCAGCTTCCTGTCGCTGAGGCCTCTCGTCGCTAGCAGTTTAATTAATGCTCTATAATGCAGCCCAACTAGAAATAGTATGGAACGGTAGTAGTAGTATGACAGAGCCGCAGAAGTTAACACTTCCTTCGGTCAGTCTCACTGAAACCCAAACTACATACTTAGTTAAATAAGCTGACAAAATAACACCATGTTTTGCATTATTACATACTGTCAAGGTCTTACAAGCAAACAAATCCATTTGAGACTGAATCAAGAACACACATAAACAACAGTCCAGTTGGGTTGGTCCTGTGTGGAACAGTCCATCTTCGGTATGAATTTGAAGAAACTTCTGATTTTTCCACACTAGTGACAATCTTGGACGAATATATATATATATATATATATATATATATATATATATATATATATATATATATATATATATATATATATAAAGTAAGGCTGAGACCCAAACTCAAAATGGGTCTTCAACCGAATACATATAGTCTTCAACTGAGTACAAGACTTATTTTGGATGTCAGAAGATGCATAACCTAAATCTGAGTATCCTCTCTTCTGGAGATCCATTTGCAGAAAGAGTTCTCTTTTATGTCTTGTTGTTGGAGAAGACCTTTTATAGATATTGAACTCTTTACCTATAACGCTACCCAAATATGGAATGAGTCTTGTATTTTGAGTAGCGGTTGTTGGGCCTTATTTAGTTGGCGATTTTTTTTGGGAAATGGTACTGTAGCACTTTCGTTGTTATTTGGTAATTAGTGTCCAATCATAGTCTAATTAAGTTTAAAAGATTCGTCTCGTGAATTTTGTCTAAACTGTATAATTAGTTTTATTTTTTATTTATATTTAATGCTTCATGCATACATCTAAAAATTCGATGTAATAGTAAATCTTTAAAAATTTTACAAAATTTTGAGAACTAAACGTGCACTTGGAGACAGTCTAATGCGGCAATGACCACGGACCACCAGACGCTCACATCATCTCTGACCTGAGATACATGTGTGCAGCAGCCAACAGCAATGCACAGGAGGAGGCGAGGACTGATGTGTCATCCAGTGGTATGCTTGCCAGGCTAGCTCCAGAGAGAAGATGATCATTCCTGGTGCAACGACAACAATATATATATGAGAACTGTAGAGAAAACAGAGCTGACTGTGGGCAGTCAGAATTTCAAAGCAACAGAGTGGTGATTTGATTACCTTCTGCTGTGACTGTGAGGATCGGATAGCGTGGCTTTGGATCAACTTTCAGCTTCAGTAATCTCAATTTCAACCACTCCTTTAGCCTCCTCATGGACTGCTTGAGCATCGTCTCTTCCGGGTCCAGCATCTGTTCCGCTCCAAGAAGTTCCGGTTGCATTCTCTGCCTCGTCATCAACAACCTGAACATCATCATCTTCGACGTCATTGATGAAGAGAGTCTGTATTTGGTAATTAGTGTCTAATTATGGACTAATTAGGTTCAAAAGTTTCGTCTTGCGATTTCTCACCCAACTGTGCAATTAGTTATTTTTTTATCTATATTTACTACTCCATGCATGTACCGCAAGATTCGATGTGACACTTTAGGTGAAAAATTTTGAGAATTAAACAGTCCCTGAGTCGACGGTGTGTGAGCCGTGGCATGGCCCCTGTTTGAAAAGTGAGCCATGGCAATACGCAGTCAAGGGAGAACCTCTGGAGCTTGCGGAATCCTTCATTTCCAATCACTATGGCATGTCCTGGAATGAAATCCAAGCCTAGTATTAGGCACTGCAATTTGGGCAGGGCTCCAAGTATCTTCAGTTCATCCGTCGTTGTTTGCTTGTTACAGACGGTGATTTGCACGAAAGATAGAAAGCTGAGCCCATGGATCCATGGTGGAACACTCGCAAAATCTTCCCGCTGTCACCATGAACTGCTTAAGCCACCGAGGCGCAAGAGACTTTTCAATGGAGCCCAGGAACTCCATGGAGCAGCCGAGTCCACAGTAAATGGTCAGGGACTTGAGGCTTCTCCACCTTTTGATGGATGACAGCAACGCTTCACAGTAGTCTCTGTCAGTGGACTGGTGAAAGGACCATTTTACTGCGAGCACGCGCAAGTTGCATAGATCACCGAGAGCCCTGACAAAGCTTGCAGTGTGTTGGGTCAAATCACCAGTCGACTGGTTTTTGGGCTGATTTAGGCGAGGTGCTGTTTTTTTGGTTCAATTGAATAATTGATACACCCTAGTCGAAACAAAAAAGCGAACCGGCTAGAGGCTGTTCGGCTTAATCGAATCACTGTCATATGAACAGTATTTTCAGATAGAACAATATTTTTTTCTTGTAATAATCAGTTGGAACAGTATTTTAACTTATTTTTCAGTCCTGTTGAACGGTCCCTAGATGGCCAGTGTATATAGTGCTTGTTTAGTTTCTAAAATTTTGCAAAATTTTTCAAGATTTCCCGTCACATCGAATCCTTCGACGCATGTATGAAGCATTAAATATAAATAAAAAATAAAACTAATTACACAGTACGAAATTCACGAGACGAATCTTTTAAGCCTAATTAGACTATAATTAGACACTAATTGTCAAATAACAACGAAAATGCTACACTAACATTTCCTAAAAAAATTCGCCAACTAAAACGAGGCCATAGCCTGCTGAGATGCCGTACATCGTGCGGCATAGCTGTTTGCACGGAATTAATAGTTCCTTCACCACCACCACCAACGAGCAGACGACTCAAATTATGCCGTAGGCCCACAATTTGCTTTGGCAGCTGGCTTATCTGCGTGCCTCTTAGGTGCAGGTTCCGCAGACCTGTTAGCTCGAACAATTCGACGGGGAGCTCACTTATCTGCGTGTAACTTGCATCCAGTGCCCTCAGAATCTGCAGCTCCTTGTTGCTAGCAGTTTCAGTAATGCTCTAATGCAGCCAGACAACAACTTTTACGGTACCGTAATAGTACTGGCAGAACCGCAGAGGTTAACACATCCTTCAGTGAGTCTCACTCAAACACAAATTGCATACTGTGGTAGTTCAAGAAATTTACAAAATAACACCATGTTTTGCATCCGTTATTACATAATAATGTCAAAGTCTTACACGCAAACAAATCCATTTGAGACTGAATCAAGAACACACATAAACAACAGTCTAGTTGCGTTGGTCCCGTGTGGAACAGTCCAACTTCTCTAGGAATTTAAAGAAGCTTCTGATTTTCCACACAGGCCTTGCAACTTTTAACAAAAGCCAATGTATAAATACAGGTGTAAACGACAGTGCAAATGGCAGAGAGTACACAGAGGAACCAATACACTAGTGACAATCTTGGACGAACAGAGTAGTAGTAGTAAGTAATGCGGCAATGACCACGGACCACCAGACGCTCACATCATCTGACCCGAGAAACATTTGTTTTGCCAGGCTAGCTCCAGAGAGAAGATGATCATTCCTGGTGCAGCGACAACGAGTGATATATATGAGAACTGTAGAGAAAACAGAGGGCAGTCAGAATTTCAAAGCAACAGAGTGGTGATTTGATTACCTTCTGCTGTGACTGTGAGGATCGGATAGCGTGGCTTTGGATCAACTTTCAGCTTCAGTAATCTCAATTTCAACCACTCCTTTAGCCTCCTCATGGACTGCTTGAGCATCGTCTCTTCCGGGTCCAGCATCTGTTCCGCTCCAAGAAGTTCCCGTTGCATTCTCTGCCTCCTCATCGACTTCCTGAACAACATCATCTTCGACGCCATTGATGAAGAGATTGATCGGGTTGCGATGCTTGGCAACTTGTTCCTTCACCGCCTTCACTGTCATCTTTACACTGGTGCTGTTAACGCACCACTCGCTGTAGCTGAGGACCACTTCGCTGATCATTTGGAGGTTGCTGATACCGGACGGAACACGCTCTTCACTTGCGGGGCCCGAGGAGAACTTGAGTCGAAGGTGTTTGAGCCGTGGCATGGCCCCTGTTTGAAAAGTGAGCCTTGGCAATACGGAGTCAAGGGAGAACCTCTGGAGCTTGCGGAATCCTTCATTTCCAATCACTATGGCATGTCCTGGAATGAAGTCCAAGCCTAGTATTAGGCACTGCAATTTGGGCAGGGCTCCAAGCCTCCAAGTATCTTCAGATCATCCGTCGTTGTTTGCTTGTTACAGACGGTGATTTGCACGAAAGCTAGACGCTTGTTCCGTTGGATCCATGGTGGAACACTTGCGAATTGTCCCGCTGTCACCTTGAACTTCTCAAGCCTCAGAGGCGCACGCCACTCTTCAAGGGAGCCCAGGAACTCCATGGAGCAGCCGAGTCCACAGTGAATGGTCAGGGACTTGAGCCATTCCAACTTTACGATGGATGACAGCAACGCTTCACAGTAGTCTCTGTCAGTGGACTGGTGAAAGGACCATGTAACTGCAAGCACCTCCAGGTTGTGTAGATCACCGAGAGCCCTGAGGAAGCTAACAGGGTATTCGGTCAAATCAACAGTGACTAGTGTCTCTAGCAGTTAGAGACGCCACACATCGTTCGGCACCCTTGCTGCCGTTTCGACGGAATTAATTGCTCCTTTGCCACCAACGAGAAGATACACCAAGCTACCCCTTAAGCCCACAATTTGCTTTGTCAGCTGGCTTACCGTGTGCCTCTTAGGTCCAGGTACCACAGATCTCTTAGCTGGAATAATTCGAGTGGGAGCTCACTTATCTGCGTGTAACTTATATCCAATGTGTGCAAAGCCCACAGCTCCTTGATCTCGTGTGGGAGCTTGCTGACTCGAGTATTCCTGACACTCAAATACCTCAAAAAGATCATTTTGCTTCTGCATATCAGAAGTAGGTTCTCATCCTCGAGATTCTCCCAGCCTTCTAGATCCAGAACCACCAAATAGATAAACTTGTCCAGAGGGATTCCGCGGACTGTCCCAGACACAGATAGCGAACGAGTCTGGGACAAATCCATGGTTTCAAGCATCGACGGGAGCAGGGGATCTGGATGGGGGCTAACCTCCGTGGCATCCTGCTGCTAGTTTGGTTGCCACACTCTGTTGTTGTTGCTGCTGCTGATTCTGCCAGTAAGTTGAGCGTAGTGGTGGTGAAAACGAAACCCATCTCTGCAGATTTGGAGGCCAGGAATTGGTGCATAAAATGATTGATTTGCCACTGGCAGGCCTCGGCTTCATCTTGCTTGTGTTTGCGGTTTGATGCTACACAGGTGATGACATTACTATCCACTAGCTCGGAGAACAACCTCTCTGCTTCTAAGTTTCTAACATTACTAAAATATATGTCGTCGGAGTAACGACCATAATCATCATAATCAGTAAGGATAAAGAAGCCTTCATCTATCCATTTCAAGATGAGACGATCCTTTTCAAACTTGTACCCATAAGGAAACATGCTCATGTAAATTAATAGTAACCTCAAGTAATCATTAGGGAAGTCATTAAAAGCGGAGGATAGTGCTTGTTCTGTCAGCCGGGGGACTCGTTCCTTGCAATAAATTGCAAATCTTTGATGCTCCTCGTCCTCATCACTGTATTGGTCCTCATCCTCATCACTGTATTGGTCCTTCAGCCAGTCTGCCATACCAATTATAAACAACGGTATACCTTCACATCTCCTCAATATTTCATCACAATGTAGCTTCATATTGTTTGGCAGGCAACCATCTACTGAACCAACGGCTTTTGCTAGAAGCAGCCTTTCTGAGTCCATTTCGCTTAGAGGCTTCATCTCATGCACATCAAGGCCATCATAGGAATCGGAGCAACATGCCCATGCTGTACTTGTACTGCGTGTTGTAATCAATATTCGGCTACCATGATTATTATTAGGAAATGCAACCTTGATTTCTTCCCAGTCTGATGCTTCCCATATATCATCGATAATGACGAAGTACCTGGCCAGCCAGCCGGGAGCATTGTGAGAAAGAGATTAGCAAATATGTATATTTTCAGATTAAAGATAATCATGCCAAAGCTAGTAATTAAGTTGGTTGTTATCGGTACCTTTTATCTCGCAAGCATTCTGAAATGAGGCGGACTAGGACCTTCATTGTCTTGGCTTGTGACGGGTCAGATGACAATGCTGTTGCTGCTGGTTCTGAGACTTGGGAGAGGATATCTTGAACAAGACGAATGTTTCTATCAGTTCCCCGTGGCACTTGTGCCATAACGTTGCATTGGAAATTGTAGCGCCCTCCACTAGTTTCATGCTGCTGCCTGAGTCGGTTGCGGAGCTCCACGGCAAGAGTTGTCTTGCCTATCCCCACAGGTCCAACGATACACATGACTCTCAGGTTCATGTCCATCTTCCCCTGGTGTGCGAGCCACCCCAAAATCTTCTTTGCCGGGCGATCAATGCCGACAAGAGGGAGGAGGGCATCCGCCTCGGCCAGTTGGGGTGTAATAAGCCCAAGGTCAGAGCTAGGGAGGAGAAGATGCCTATACCTGGAGCTGGAGGGATGTTGGATGATATAGTAAAGCCGCCGTACCGTAAAGATATAATGTGAATATGAGAATGACTTCCTACGATGGAAGCACTGTGAAGCTCTTCGCAGCAGCGTGTGGAGAGAGGGATCAACTTCACCGAGGACGCGGTCGGCTAAACGGGGAACAGCGAACAAAGATTCACCCAGCCATTTCTTCGTCTCGGCATCGTCAAAGTGCTGCGGACTCAATGTCGTCAAGAGCGCCGCAATGATGCTCAGCTCCGTCTCCATCAATACCAAGCAGCGCCGTCCACGGTCACCAGTGACGACGCGATGAGGGCCAGCAGGCCCCAGCAGCTGAGAGATCCTGGCACGAAGCGGCTTCAGCTTGCTTAATAACTTCTTGATCTTGGCCGCCGTCTTCTCCTCCTCCTCGGAATCTTGATGAGCCGTGACATCTCTCTCCAGCTGCTGCTCCGGATTAGGAGCGGCAGGCACCATCTCGACCTCCTTGCCCTCCTCCCCTCGGAGGCCTTAGGGCGCCATGCATGCACCCTGCGAGCTGAGCAGTTAAATGAACTATTAAGGATCTAGATGGTCATTCTATTTATTCATAATATAACGAAATATCAAAATGTGTGCTTCAATATATTTAATCCATTATATTTCGTTAACGTGGAGCCTCCTTCGACCACCAGATGGTCCTTCTATTTATTCCATTATACTATGAGTAATGGCAGCAGCTCTCCGATCCACTGTTCCTGATTGTACTAGGCACGCCGTTGGAGACTTTTGTCCATCGGGGCTGCTGGCTCAATAATTCCGGTGCATGCCTGCCTGGCCAATTGGTCGATATGTCATCACTTCATGACCGGTTTTTGAGGTGCTTTATCCCCATCCGTCCATGTCACCTACCGCTACACGGTAGTACTAGCAATTGATTGATCCATCGGATAGCCGTAGACTTTTTGTTTGTCAGTCTTGTTCGTCGGCCTCATTACTTCAGTAGACAATGCAATCAGTAATAAATCACCGTCTGTACATGTCTTCATTAGGGCCAGTTCTGAGTATTTTGTTTTTACCTAGAACGAAACTAAAATTTAGAAAGCAAATTATTTAGAAAGCAAAATTCATATGGTTAGGGGTATATTAGTGTAACAATTTCTAGCGTTCATCTTTTTTTCTTAGAGCTCTTTTACGATGGTCGGAAAAATACCTTAGTACTTTCATTTTTCCTATTTTCTATGCAACTAATTGAAGAAGATTATATTTGTTAAATGTAATTTTTATTATGGGGCTATATCAGTAATTGTTTTTTTACCCTTAGCCTGCTGCACGGTTCCTCTCACGAGTTGTTGTTTCCGCCCCAGCGGCCGTTGCTGCTTTTCGCTCGGCCTTAGTCGCCATGTTAGGCTGCTGGTTGGTCTTGGTTGCCGGAGGCAGCGTTCTTCCGGAGGCCAATTCGCAGGCTGTGTTAATTTTGCTTCCGATTCGCAGGCGGCAGTTCCTGGCAGAGCGTTGCGCATGCGCATGCAGGAGCAGGCATCACTTGGTGGCGGGGGCTGCTGCGTGTTCCAGCGGTCGCCGATCGACGTGTGCGCGTCCGCGTGCTTGCGGCCGGGCGACGCCCCCGACGAGTTGCAGGATGGCTTGAAGATATCGAAATAGTACTGACTCCAAATCTTTATTCTTTCCAATTGCAAGTCGTCTTTGTCATGCTCCTATGTCTATGTGAGCCCTGGCAGCCGTGCGTGCGTGCTAGAAGCAGGAAGCAGCAGGGTGGGAAAGGCGTCCGGGGGTTCGCGGCCGTTGGCACCGGAATCGGGGAGGAGGCCAACGACTGCTTGCTGTGCCGCCGTGCAGCGCTGCAGGCGCACGGCGAACGCCATGGCCGGCCCGACCAAAAGCTTCCGGGTACCCGCCTTCTTCGTATGCGCATGCTGGCAACGGCGGTGTAGGGAACGCATCCGCGGGCATCGGCTCGGGGAGGTGGTGGCCAGTGAGCTACGCCTGTTCCGTCGTGAGACGATTCGGAGACTGAGAGAGAAGAGAAGGGAAATCCCCGTTTTGCCCAAGAAATTGCTAAATTATCCTTATCTGAAAAATAATAAATTAAGAAAAAATTAAAAACTGGACCACTAATTTTGATACTGACCCCACATAATTTAGTACCGTCCCCACTAATTTGATACTTCGGAGTACTTTCACATGAGAACCTCGTATTTTAGTACTGTCTAATCTTGCCCTATGGACGATTCATATTTTTTTTCAACAATTGTAAAATTTCTATTTTTCTTAATGTGGAGGTTCTTTTACGACCAATAATTAGTAATAGTAAGATAAAATATGGCTATTGTGGTTTTTTGAGCCTTGTGTGACGAGTGTGTTTGTAGGTGTCCTATTTTTTTATTCTCTTTGGTGCGATATGGACCACCGAAGGAATAAGATGACTAATCTGGTCTTTAATGTACTACTCCCTCCGGTCCATTTTATCTGGCGCACACACATATCAAGATTCAAACTTTAAAAACTTTAACCAATAATTAGGCTAATAATTTTTAACTATTATAATACTAATTTTATATGATTAGATTTGGTAAGAAAGTATACTATTCAATGATTATAAATTTATAAGCATAAATAATATAATATAAAGAAAATAAATAGTCAAATTATAATCTAGAAGACCGTGTCATTCTAACTTGCGCCAGATAAAATGGACCGGAGGGAGTATTATTTTTTTAGAGGAGGTTTTTTATATCTTGTAGTCCATCTTTTATACTGAACTTTGTTTTTCTTATGATGTCTGAATTGTGAGGCACTCTTTTGAGTGTCCTTTCATAAAAAAAAGATACATATTTTAGCCGGGAAACTCAAGCTTGCCTTATCCGGTGACGGAACAGTATCCGAAGTCACTACTGATTAGGACATGGACCGTGATGACTAATAAGGATGAGCTAATAAGAACGAAGACTGATAGAGAAAGTCTCCGGCGATGAATCAATTTCTGATATGTGCTAGTGCCAAACAGGAAAACAGGGATCGATCGAGATGCAGACAGAGAGAAGGCAACCAAGACCTCCCATCCCTCATCCACATGACGGCAAAGGGCAGGCAGCCATTAGCCATGCCTCCGCAGCACCGTTGACGCTCACTGCGGAGTCCGCGAGATCGGCCAAGTTCCGGTCGCTTCACACACTGCGCCTCTTGGGCTCCTCGCACAAGCTAGCCTAGCTAATTTTCCAACATGTTACAACCACACAAAAAATTAGTGGATGTCATGTGATACCATGCATGGAGACCTGCAGATGCGGAGTAGTCAAGCTTGCGGCGGCTGGTGCCCAACCGATCCACATCATCCATCCAACTGGAATTGGCTGGTGCAAAAACTGACCGACTAAGACATGCATGGACTGATATACCTCGGACGCACTTGCATTATCTGGCTTCCAATTCCATCACCATCAGGCTTCAGGCAGGCGGCAGCAATCAGGTAGGCTTTGTCCTATTCGGCTATTCCTATAATCCTATGACCCCTAATCGTGTACGTACTAATTAATAATTGCAGTTACCCTATTTTATGAAACTGCAGTTCATAAGGGAAGAAATTTTTAGGGTAATTTAATATGTATATAAATTATTTCATATAAATATTGTTTTTGCATATAATTAACTGTTTATTAGTAACATTTCGTATATATGTGTATAGCTAGCAGCGAGTAGTACTTAGTAGTAGTATCATATTTATATAAAAAGGCTTTAAATTTTAGTTTTGTTCTAAGTAAAAAAAAAACTCAGGACCGGTCCTGATGAAGACATGTACAGACGGTGATTTATTACTGATTGCATTGTCTACTAGAGTAATGAGGCCGACGAACAAGACTGACAAACAAAAAGTCTACGACTATCCGATGGATCAATCAATTGCTAGTACTACTGTGTACACTACAGCAGACGCGTGCTTTGCCGAGTGCAATTGCACTCGACAAAGAAGGCTTTGCACTCGACAAAGTCTTTGCTTGAAGTCTTTTTGACAAAGAAAGAGTCTGTTTACATATTCCTTCACAAAGAAAGGCTTCTTTGCCGAAAGTGCTTTTTGTCGGCACTTTCGGAAAACCTTTGCCGAAAAGTCAAAAAAGCACTCGCAAAAGATTTACACTCGGCAAAATGAAAATGCGAAAAAACCCAAAAATAATAGCAAAATTTTTTTTTTTTGGGGGAGGCCATTCCACCACCATACCATACTGCCTTCATCAAGTCGGTGCATTTTTTGCGCTAAATTCACGGCTAACGTGGCCGGAGGGATTCGAACTCACGACCGCTCCCTCGCGTGTCTGCTGCTCTACCACTGCACTACACTGTCACTTGTGTCTATATTCCGTTATCTATCCTCATATATTATATTAAACCGAGAGTAAATTGCTTATTTGAGGCCCTAAACGAATTCAAATAAAAAAGTGGTCAACTACAAAGTTTCATAATTCTTTGAGATCTACAATTTTTATTTAGGATGTTTTTCCATCCGAGGTCATTTGAAAAATTCGAATTTCAAATTTGAGAGATTCAAACGTAGTTTTGCATGATAAGATGATTTTAAATCAAAAAGTTGTTAACTACATAGTTTCATAACTTTTGAAGATCTACAATTTTCATTTAGGAAGTTTTTCCATCCGAGGTCTTTTGAAAAATTCAATTTTTAAAATTTTCAAATTCAAACGTCGTTTTTGCATGACAAGATGATTTTAAATCAAAATGTTGCCAACTACAAAATTTCATAACTTCTCGAGATCTACAAAGTTTATTTTGGTCATTTGTTCATCTGACATAGTGGTAGTAACATTGTTCACAAATCTTATATATCTCTCTTCCACTTTCATGAAACTAATATGAGAAATGAGAGATGTAGATTTTATGAACAACATTATTGTCGCTTTATCAAAGGAAGAAATGACAAAAATAAACTTTGTAGATCTTGAGAAGTTATACAACTTTGTAGTTGAAAAGTTTTTCATTTGAATTCATTTAGGGCCTAAAAAATTGCTTTAAAAAACTGATTTGCCGAGGGCCAAAAAATATGCACACGACAAAATGCCTCTTTGCCGAAAAGCCAAAAACAAAGGCACTTGGCAAAATACATCTTTGCCGAGTGTGCGTTGAAAAAGGCACTTTTCGGCAAAGACGCATTTTGCCGTGTGTCGAAAAAATAGCACTCGCAAAAATACATCTTTGCCGAGTGCGAAAAAAGGCACTTCGGCAAAGACGCATTTTGCCGCAGTGTCCGAAAAATAGCACTCAACAAAATACATCTTTGCCGAAAGTGCGGAAAAAAGACACTCGGCAAAGACGCATTTTGTCGAGTGTTTTTTTTTTGCCGAGTGTATTTTATTTGACACTCGGCAAAGACCGTCTTTGCCGAGTGCCCGATAAAATGCACTCGGCAAAGCCTCCGGCACTTGGCAAAGTATCGGTTTCCGGTAGTGGCAGCTGGTAGGTGACATGGA